CCCCCTCCTATTTTCGTCTATTAAAAAAAAATAAAGTCAGGCTGCTTTGTGACGGTTCGCTCTGCACTGACGAGAGGCTTCCTCGTTGGCAGGGTGCTGCGGTGTGCACCACAGGGTGCTGTTACATTGCAGCTGGTAACCAGCTGCTGGCCACTATTTGTACAGTGGATACAAACAGATTTATCAGAAAAGTCTCCCTCCCACGCACACCAATTTAAACCCATGGCTACCTTCAAAATTAGAATCAGTTTTGATGATGTTACTTAACATTCTTCAATTCATTAAAGTCGCTTTCAAAAACTAAGCTGCAGTTTCTTTAAGATGAAGTTTTACCTTTAGGCCACCATTCGAGATGTTACTAGTGCTTATAAAGCTGCTCAGGACAGCACGCTGATACTGGTTTGGCGCTTCGTGTGTAACACCTCACAGCATAGATACTGTATTCATATGGATACTGTACTCACGTGGATACTGTGCTCACGTGGATACTGTGCTCACGTGGATACTGTGCTCATACGGATACTGTGCTCATATGGATACTGTGCTCATGTGGATACTGTGCTCATGTGGACACTGTGCTCATGTGGATACTGTGCTCATGTGGACACTGTGCTCATATGGATACTGTGCTCATGTGGACACTGTACTCATGTGGATACTGTGCTCATGTAGATACTATACGCATGTGGATACTGTGTTCATGTGGACACTGTGCTCATATGGATACTGTGCTCAAGTGGACACTGTGCTCATGTGGATACTGTGCTCATGTGGACACTGTGCTCATGTGGATACTATACGCATGTGGATACTGTGCTCATGTGGATACTGTATTCATGTGGGTAGGACACAGACAGAAGCACAATGGACTAGGATTCAGGAACATTCAGCTACATCATCACGTGGTTGGGGGACCCTGAAATTCAGTTAGCCTTGCTTGGTTTCAGATTTCTATTTGATACAATGAGATGGCCAATTAGATTAAAATTTCATTTGTCTAAGGTGAAGGCCTGAGGTGGAGTGGGAGACGAGTGGAGGGAGGCAAAGGGGCGGGAATGGGGGACATCTGCAATACTCTCAACAATAAAATAAATTTAAAAATTTCATTTGTCTAGCTTCTGCTATATTGACTCCCATTTATTAACATTAAAAATAGCCTAACTAGCATGTTATGTATTTATACAGATTATTCTTTGTCTTGATTATACTAAAGACAAATGTCCTAATTCCAGTTTAATGTACATATACATATAGGGACTATATGTCGTTATTGTGCTTTAATAGTTTAAATTTTAAAAAATATTTACAAAGGCACCTATTTAAATGTATCCATAAGACACAGGGCCACAGACAATGTGGTGATTCCTATAAAACCGGCTTAAGATACACAAGGAAAACATACTCCCCTTTAGTTCCACTGGCATCACTTTCAGTGTCTGTGTTGCTTACATTTCATAATGGACTGACTAACAATTCTAAAAGGTTTTTCAGAACTAAATGTTCATCTTTTGAAGTATGAAGAAAAGCAGTTACCATTCCACATTGTACCGGCTGGGATTAAAAGTAAAAATGTAACCTTTGAAAGGCCCAAAGGCATATTTTGCAAAACAGAAACGAGATGGACTTTACGTGAGCATTAATGATTCAGCAGACAGCGTGCCCGCATCTGTCTTCTTCAGCACAACACATTAAGGAAAATGGGACATTCAGAAAATACTATTCCAGCCCTCTGTCCTTAGCAGGAGTAAATTTAGTGTCTTACCATTTGCCAGATTCAACGCTAGGAAGCTACATATTAAAATTAAAGGTTGGATCCTGGAAAATTCAGTTCATGTTGTGTCAACTGATGAATGAGGCAAGATGAGCTCACACCTGCATTAATAACTTTAAATTAATATTTTATTATAGTCTGAACACAGTGATTGATAATTATTCTGTAGGACTTTTTTTTTTCTTCCATTTTGTAAAACTAGTTTTACATATAGAGAAAAGGGAAGGTGTCCTGAAAGTAAATACAACACCGGGGAAATGTCCTTACTTAGTGATAATGCCTGTTACACAGCATAGTAACAAAAGCACGTGGTCCTGTCAAACACAGATTCGTAGGATAGATAGAGGGTTTGGAAACAGACCTAAATACATATGGAATTAAATATATGATAAATGTGGCATTTCAGAATAGTGGGGAAATATAGTAATTGCAAACAGAGTTGGAACTATTAGCCAACTAGGGGGGAAAATTGAATCTTTCGCTCACTCTACACCAGTACTCCCAGTTTGACAAGTCTGAACCATGTACTTCCAACGGACAGATACAATTGCAAACATCAGCCTGCACAGAGGAAACAGAGCAAAACCCACTGAGGGGTACAATGGAATTGAGGGGGCCTCCGGAAACCAGAGCCGTAATCCAGTCTGTGCGAAAATGAAGAGTGGGAGCCCTGGCCTAAAACGCCAGGGAGTCACAGAAACCTCACACAATGCAACACCAGCGACGTCTTTTTCTCAAAGAGACGGAGGCTCAGTGAGTCTGGGGATTCAATTACCCTCTCAACCTGGAAAGAACCCCTCCCGAGCGGAGGTCCGCGGGGCAGAGCCATGAGGGACGGCCCGCCTCGTACAGGGCTGATAAACAGCTGGGAAGCCGCAGGCTTTAAAAATCAAGGGTCCCTGACCTTGGATAATTGCTACCGTGATCCTTCCACAGAACACGGCTTACAAAGAGTTCCTGAAATGCCTGGCGAAGATTTCATTTTCCATTGAATATCTCCAGCTATCTCCTCTCGCCGTGGAAGTCTGTCTAAATCAATACCTAAGCGCAACACCTGGGTGGGTGGGAAAGAATGGGACCAGGTTCATAAAACAGAAAGTGTTTTTGCGTCAGATGATCCTGAATCTGGCTCAGACACTTGTAAACTTTTCAAGGGATCCTAATCCTCACATCTCCTCACACAAGGAGTCAGGGGTACTACCTGGGGTGTAACTGTAGCCAACACATTTTAGAATTCAAACGTTGGATACTTTATTTCACTCCTCTTCTTATGAGGTTATAATTTTTAAAAAAGTCATATATATGTTTCACATAAGCTATTTATTTTCACATATGACAAAATTCTTGGGATGATGGCTGTTTGGGATACTCTAACCTTAATAAATGAGATCCCTTCCCAGAATCCACCTAATTAGTTATAAAGTACACAGTATTGATTATTTCCTATCACCTACAACATTAGGCCTCAAACACTGAGCACAGGATTCAAACCTGTTCACAACCTAATCTCCACCCAAGGGCCTTGTCTCTTTCCCATCACTGTCTGTGTGTCTGTGTGTCTGTGTGTCTAACTCAGGCTCTGTTCTAGCCACAGTGAAATTTATCACATTTCCCCTAAACCTGCCATGTGGACGCCCACATTTACTGTTTTTTCCAAAGCTAAACACTCGCCCTGCGTTGCAACACTAACCCCATCGAATCAAGGCTATTCTCTCAACACATCTGTTCTTGCTCATAGATTATGAACTTCAAAAAGGCAGGTGTGCTTGGTACCTAGAAGGTGTTCAATAAATAACGACAAAAGGAGGAACCCTTGTGTGGTGTTTACCATATTGACTGAATAGGGAAATTAAGAATTCAAAAAATATTCCCTGAATAATTACTATGTTAGAGATTTTCACCTACCAGTATTATTCAGTTTATACCACGGCCTTGTAAGAGATACTATCTTTCCTGAATAAATGTAAAGAGATGAGTAATTTTTCCTGGATTCACAATAAGTGGTCAACTTAAAAATTCCACCTAGATGATAAATTTAATAAATCTGACCCTGTAGGTTAATACTATGCCCTTTACCTCTGTGATAGCCTCAGTAATAATGCTTTTGAAATCCTACAGTAATATAAATTATCATTTTTCTCCTAAATGATTCTTTTAAAATAATTAGCATATTGAGAAATGATCTTTATCTATAAAAAGCTACCTGTTTGTTGAAGGCGCACATTGGGTTTTTGTAGCATTTTAGAACTTAAGTATTAAACGTTTGGAAAGGACTCTCCACATCCTTATGGGAAGACTGCCTTTGGGTTTTGCTCACGTGTTAAAGGACAGGACACCAACAAAGGATAATATTAATTAATCATTCAACCAATCAACCATTCACTTAGCGAATGAAAACTGGGCTTGGCCTTACACTGATTTTAAAAACAAACAAACAACAGCTTAGAGATCAAACATCCTTTTATTCGGCTCATGCCCGCCTCTCTCTCGCTTTCTTTCTTTTTAGGGGGATATTTCTTGTTCACAACTCTGTCAGCCTCTCTGATTTATTCCCAATCTTGTACGAATTACCTGAATGAACACAGACTGGGGAAGTCCATCCGTCCCTTTGCTGAGCCTCGCGTGCCAGACTAGACACCGACGCACACTTTAAACCAGACATTTCGCAAATTACAAGTCTGCTTCATCATCAACGAGAGTTCGTGCCTAAGAGCATTTAGCAGGTGGAGGCCTGAGCCAATCTATCCAGCGAACACCTAGATTAAAAAATCATGCATTTCGCCCGGCCGGGCGTGGCTCAGAGGTTGAGCGTCGACCTAGGATCCGGGCGATTGGGGTTCGATTCCCGGTCAGGGCACATGCCTGGGTTGCGGGCTCACAGCCGATCAATGACTCTCTCATCATTGATGTTTCTCTCTCTCTCTCCCTCTCCTTTCCTCTCTCTGAAATCAATAAAGATATATTTAAAAAAAAAAAATCATTCATTTCAACGTGCACCCCTCTTTAAGACAACAGCAGCCTGCATTTTCACAACACTCCTACCACCGCGTGGGGGAGACTAACAANTGGGGGAGACTAACAAAATGTGCCACGTTTCCCTACAGAAACCAGATTTTTAATTCTTTTACTCTTATCACGACAAGCTTTATGGTCCAGTCACAGGTCACAGCCGAGATCTCGAACAAAGGGTGTCATCGGGTCTCACCTGCAGAAATCAATCTGAACTTACCTTGTTTGCGATGCTGGTGATGAAGGACTTGACATCCAGGTTCGTGGGGCAGCTCTGCTGACAGGGGGCGTCCGCACACTTCAGGCACCTGCGGATGAAACGCCGGTTACAGAAGCCGCCACAGAACCGAGGTTACAGTCTACACGCCCGAATTTGGGGGGGAAACCCTTTGAGGAGATTCTGGTGCCCCGGGTCGGATCCAATTAGTGAGAATCACAATTTTTCTTTTTTAATGGAAAAACACCCATTTATCTGTTTTTTATTTGTTTTTAGGAGAACAAGTTTGATAATTAACAATCAAATACACAACACCAATAGGCTCTCTGCAGATAGTTTTTATAAGTTTGGGAAGAGTTGCTTCTAATGCTAGTTTATTGCATATTTTATCATAATGTGTGTTAAATTTTATCACATTTTTTTTCTTTATTTATTTTGATGGCCTTTTTCCTTTTGTTTTCTGTTGTTGTTGTTAACGTGGCGGTTGGAACAAATGATAGGACACAGTTCCATGACGCCTCCTCCAGGGCTGAAAGCGCCAGGCAGGACGGTCGCTAACTCGCATGTGAACGCCGAGGGTTCCTTTACTCTTTCGTTTCCTGAACAGGCCGAGTCCCTCCGACAGGGCAGGACCCGGGACACGAGGGCACGGAAGGGGGAAGACAGCGAGGTCCTGCTCTGTGGGGCTGGCTGGGGGGGGGACGTCCGATGACAGAGCCTCGGGCAGTGGCCGGGGCGCAGGGGGCCGGCAGCCGGCGGGCAGAGCCCCAGGAGAGGGCCTCTGGGGAGAGACGCTCCTGGGAACCTAGAGGGAACCTGCCCGTTTTTTAATCGGATTGTTTGTTTCTTTGGTGTTGAGCTGTACGAGCTCTTTATACGTTTTGAATGTTAAGCCCCCGTCAGAGCCGATGTTGGCCAGTACGTCCCTCCATTTGGTTGGCCGCCTGTTTTGGGGGGGTGGCGGAGTAAATACCTGGTGAGGGAGGAGGACCTGGCTTTGGGTGGTGGGCGCACAATGAACATACATGATGTGTCGGTGATGTACCCGTGAAACCTACGNTTGGGTGGTGGGCGCACAATGAACATACATGATGTGTCGGTGATGTACCCGTGAAACCTACGTAATGAGATTAACCAGGGCCACCTCAATAAATTTAATTTTTAAAGAAAATCAGGGGGTGTTTGGGAAGTGGAGAGGGTGGGGTTTGGAGTCCGGGGTCACTGAAGACAATAACCCAAGGACGGAGGTGACAGGGCCTGCGAACCGTGGGGTCTGGGCGTAGGGAGAGCGGGCGTAGGAAAAAATGAGACTAGAGCTTGAAAACCTAAAATATCGCACTGTCACGTCCGCCAGACGAGCAGACTCTCCGAGAATTTTGCTGAGGACGAATCCTCCGCGGCTCAGCGGACAAAGGTGACCCGCCGCTCATTTTCTCCGCACGTCCCTGTGTGACGACCTCGGTCGTTTCCTTCGAGGAAACAATACCAGTCCCCTTGTCCTTCCGTTGTGAGCAGGAGAGTCCTCTTCATTATCTGAGCCGGTTTCTCAGTCCCTAATTAATATCTTGTTTTCGCATCTGATCTCTCGTCTCTCGTCGGCGCCCTTAGCCTTCTCTCTAAATTAAATTTTACACAATGAGAACCGAAGGCTTTTCATAATCAATTGTCCTCTCTGAGACGGAGTCATTAAACCTCTCCCATCATTTCTCTAAATGCCATTGTCAGACTCGCATCTATCACTCAGCAGAATCCCTCTCTTCTCGCACTTGTGGTTTCCTTCCCCCAAAACACTGTCGCTGAGTTCAAAAGGAATTTCTTGAAAGCGTGGTCAGTGGCGCCGTACATGGTACAACCATGTGGATCCCTGGCCCGTTTGGCCCTCGATGCCGAAACGAGGCGACACCCGCGCATGTTACCTTCGCAGGAATTAACGTGCTGAGCACGGCCGGAGATTTGAAAGGATCTCCTGTTTAGCAATAAATGAAAACAGCTAGAAATTTAGCAAATAAGATGCCATTTTAAATACCTTCCGATTAATTAAAAAAGTCACTTCAGCCCGGCCGGGCGTGGCTCGGCGGTTGAGCGTCGGCCTAGGATCCAGGCGATCGGGGTTCGATTCCCGGTCAGGGCACAGGCCCGGGTTGGGGGCTCAATCAATGACTCTCATCATTGATGTTTCTGTCTCTCTCCCTCTCCTTTCCTCTCTCTGAAATCAATAAAGATTTTTTTTTTTTAAAAGTGTGTTTTTTTTTAAAAAAAGGTCACGTCAAAGGTTTTTTAAACACCTGCCATTTGGTAGGAATAAATCCAGCCACAGACACATGAAGTCCGGTTATCCAATGAAGTCCCAAGTTTTCTGCTTTGCCCCCCCCCCAACCGCCAACTTGAATGATACGTGATTTAAAAATAAAGTTATAACGTCAGCAGGTGTGAACGAGGGACATTAGTGCCCCGTGTAGGCGCTGCTCGTAGAGAAACCTGAAGTTCAACGCCAACAGATGCGCGGCGCCCACACCGAAGGATCCGAGTTGCGGTCGTTAAGCCTCTTTACCAAGGAACCCCCCGTCTCACCAGCCGGCTCACAAAGAACAGCTGCTGGAAATGTCAGGTGCTAATGAGGCCGGCGGGGGGACCGAGCGGCAGCGTCCCCCCCGGAGCCGCGGGCTCGGGCCGACGCCCTCTCGAGCTCGGCGCGCGCGGCCCTGAGTGCACCAGGCTGCCATTAATCCCACTTGTCACCCTGACAGCCCAGTAATTACGCCGGCGCCCGGCCGGGGAGTCCTAATAAAACAGCAGCCGCGGCGTGGCCCTGCGCGCCCCTGAGGTGTTTTATTAAACGCGGTGGGGGCCGATCATCCGGTGACATTAGTGTTGACCTATTTTCTGTTTGATAATAAATTACCCTCTGACCACGCGGAACAGACGCCACAGGGCGCGTCCACTGCACCCGACCCGACGGCGCCGGCGGGACCCCGCGGGCCCCGGAGTGGTGTCAGCGGAGCAGCAGAGACGCGAGTCAGGATGTTATTACCCAAATTGCTCCAGATGGCGGACACCAGGCGAAGCCACGGGCGCGGCGCTCAGGGGACTGTGTCCACAGTTACTGTAAACCGCACTGCTCCATAAATTTTTCCTTGGACGTAACCTTTAAACGACTCTTGTTTTTATCGTCAGTTATTTAATTCCCCTTTTATGCCTCAAAGTTACTCCGTTATAACCTGGTTTATTTTTGAATGCATCGTAAGACGCCAACGTTAATTCAGATAAACAGTTATGGAACAGCTGACTCCCGGGTAATTACACTAAGAGGGGCACAGTGGACCATGTTTTAAAGCAATGAAACATCTTAGATTTTTTACTCGCGATAAACTTTGCTCATTTCCATAGTTAACTGGGAGCATAACAAGGGATTTCATTAAAAGCAAAACCTAGAATCCTTAATAATCTTAATTCTTCATGATTCAACGTGACCCTGAAAATATGTATGAAAACTTTAGTCCCGCTACTTAAGGGGCGGACATTATGGGAGACGAATTTATCAGGGGTCTTTCTCTAGGGAAGGAGCCAGGGTTCCTCTGCCCGAACTCCAGAGGGGCTGGGCCGCTGTACCCCACAGCCGACGGCGAGGAAGGAGACAGGCAGAGCCTCAGCCCTCGCACCCCCGGAGCAGGCGCTGGGCCTTCTCCTGAGACGCACCACGGCCGCGGGAACCGCAACCTACGAATCTCCTAACCCACGGCCACAAATACTAATTAATTTATTTCCCCGTTAAAAAAAAAAACTCTATTTGAAAGCCTTGCAAGCTCGGGTTGCATTTTCTTTGCGTGTTCTGTTAGACTTCGGTTCAACGGAGTCAGCGCCGCTCACCACGCTCCGAATAACCTACATTAGTCCACGTGCAATCCAGCTGGGCAAGTTAGGGTCGCCATTAAAGAATTAAAATGTCTTCCTGACACTGGTGTATTTCCTCAGGTCTCTGAGGTTCTGAACCTTTCTTTGCAGTCTCTAAGTAACCGAGATGCAGCAGATGGGTGGGTACAGACCTGACTTCCATACCCTAAAATCACCGGAGCATGTAAATAGGCAGTTCAAGATCTTTCCCCAACTCGGCAATATTTCTACTGAGACTGAGCAGAACGGAGTTCCGATAGGTTGCATGGATGGCGAGTGAACCAAGGCGGGGAGGTCGGAGGTGTCCCCCATGTGCCTCGGTTCCACCGCCTGGCCCCGCGAGCCCAGGCCCTGTCGTAGCAGCAGGACGCGGGAACGAAGGTCGGTCACTTTAAAACGTGATGGGACTAATGCAATGTCCCGATCCGTCCAACGGCCAGGAGCCACCCTCAGCCTCCAATCGCTCCCCCGCTTCTCTGGTGACACCCGGTTGCACTAGCTCAGGGGCATCTGGAAATAACTTTGAATATTTCTAACCTGCATCCTGGCCCAGCTTCTACGTCCGGCTGGCTCGATGCCGTGGCACCACCACGAAAGGGAAGTGGATTTTCTATGCTGGGCACCACTCTGCCTTCAAACCCTCCAATGATGTTTGCATTTAAGGCTCTTAGTATATGTTTGAATGTGCAGGGAAACACGGAAACATAACTTTTAGCTGTTTATCTACTGGAAATGTTCATTCCCATGTGGGTGCTTCAGGACAATTCAAAAGAAGCAACGTTTGACACCGTGCCCAGCTCACACGTCCGAAGGCCACAGGATTGTGTTGGACGACCTTGCTCATGAGTCTAGGAATGAAACCCGGTTAAAAACGCTCCTACAGCCTTTCTGTGTCTGTGTCTGAGAATTACAGGGATGCGTCGCTGAGTAAGCACCTAAGGGTGCAATTAGTGGGCATGAGGCTCCGTGTGGCAGAAGAGGCTCTGCCCATCACCTGCTCTGCTCTGCCCATCACCTCCCCGCGCTCTGGATGCCCAAGGCCCACGCCAGGCACCTTCTCCCTTCCCCTTGTCAGCTTCTGCCACCTGGTAAGATGGTCACGTCTCACCCTCCAGAGAAGGGCCGCGCTTCCCCTGACGAAATACGCCGTCTACGTACCTACCCATAGGGTGGTTTTCAGGTAACTTAGTAGCTGATGAA